TCTCTCTCTCTCTCTCTCTCTCTCTCTCTCTCTCTCTCTCTCTCTCTCTCTCACACACACACACACACACACACACACACACAGCTCTTGTTTAAAATCCTCCCTGTGGGCTATCTGCCCTAAGGAGGATGATATTCCAATGACCCCATGGTATGAGAACAAACATCTAAAAAATCCACCGCCACTCTCACATTGATGTCTCATTTAAATGGGCTTTCCCCATAAGTGTTTTACAAACGACACATCTTACATATGCTTACTGAACATAATGTGAAGCTTTCCCCTTCCCCAAATCATAAATACCCAGGAATCTTCATGACAATTTTATTCACAGCACTATTTTATTTTATTTGTGCATTTTATTTACTGCCTCAATTGAATATATTATTTTACATATGGTGCAATGCATTCCACATGAAGGAAAAAAAATCCAAATCATTCCAAATCAAGTTCTTTCCTGTTCCTGTTTTCCTTTAGGTCATTTTTAGGATATTAGCATCATGGCCGTGCTAAGTCATTTTAACGAAACGTTTGAAACCTCATTCACCCAAGGAGAATCACTACTTTCAAGACTTTTTTTTTTTAAATTTCAGGAAAACAAACATCCTGAATTCAGTGGTTCCCTTTGGGGAAATGTTCCTTTTTTTTTGTAACTTTCAGTAAATGCTAAATTAATTTCCAAATAAACAATGTCTTTATCCACAAAAAATGTCTGGAAACTTACATTAAGATTAAATATCAATATCTGTATAAAAGTTTTCTTACATTTTTTGCTGTTAAAATTTAGACATTAACTGCATTTCTAGTTGTTCTGTTAAAGAAAGTGGACAGAGTCCCTAATAAATCTCACTAAAAGTGACAGAGATTTAGTTTAAATGTTTACCAAATGGAATGACTCTACAGGAATTCCTTCAAGAAGCCTGTGAAAATGTCAGAAGAAAGTTGACTTTAGAGGTCAGTCCTCTAGAGACCACTGAGGTTTGGCCTGTGGGTCTTTTCACATGCTTTAATATTTGAAATCTGTTCCTTGCAGACACTGACAGATGCCCAGGGAATGCTAGAATGGTGGGAACTGGCAGTGCTGAGAACAATGACAGACTAAATGGGAAATAGTACATACAAAATCTGCCTTCATATTTCTTACAAGCTAAGAGACGTCATTGCTTAGATAAAAGACGCTAGTTGTCAAAATGATTTCACACATCACAATTTCTCCCCTTCAATTTCTACAATATTGGATCCCGAGAAAAAGTGCAGCACTGAAAAAGAACTGACTATTCTATTCTATTCTATTCTATTCTATTCTATTCTATTCTATTCTATTCTATTCTATTCTATTCTATTCCATTCCATTCCATTCCATTCCATTCCATTCCATTCCATTCCATTCTCCATTAATTAAAAATTAAAATAGTTCTAAAAACCACAATTTACTGGTCCTCAATGAAATAAAATTTGCATGCAGTGATCCAAAGTTTCACTGTTATTTACCTCATTCAGGTAATAACATAATTTATGTCATTTGCAATAACTACTGCACAAATGACATAATTCCCTACAATAACTTTTTCTTTCTTACAGTGGACATTCCTATATAATAAATATCTCTCACCACCAATTACACAAAGTTTCCCTGCATTATAACAGAGTATTTTTTAAGATACTTCAAATAAATTTCCTGGCAATCCTCTATATTTTCCAAATATTAGCCAATGTAAAACTCCAAATGAAGTGATTAGAGTGGTATGTAAAATTCTAAAACAAAGTTTAGAACAGTATTTTATTTTCATGGAAATGAGACTGAAATTACAAGTCCCTTCAAATTATTTATGTAACAACCCCTGGGAAGAAAAAAAGATTATTTTGTTGTGTAGAGCTGAATGCATTTATTACAATTTATTTTCCCTGTTTTTGTGTTGCTTCTTGCAGTTTTTTTTCTGATATTTACAGTGATTTTAATTACACTGTGATTTTGTATTTATATAATGGAAGAGCACTGATCATAAAATGTAGCTTAAAAATAGTAATAATATGACAGATTTAGATTTAAGAGACAGGCTTGCATATCAGGACATCAATTTAGTTGAGACAGTATGTTTTTCTCATTCAAAGACTGTGAGGAGGAACTGTGTCTCAGTGAACTTGGGATTATGAAGGTTAAAAACAGTTATTTTTAAAAATGAAAGCTGGAGAGTAAAGAATTTGAAGAATATCTGTAAGCAAAGTACAAAGTAACTTTCAGAATCAAAATCTCAGATCAGTATTAAAAGCTTTTTGATGAAAGACTCTGGAGGAAGACTGATCTTGCCAACAGTTGATTTGAACTCTACATAAAACAACAACTAGCTTAGAGGCCAGAAAAAGTCATACTTCCTTTTAGACCACTTCTAATTTGTGTGGAATTCCCTATGGGCTTTGGATACATTAACATACTGCACTTCCTAAGCTCATGCTGAGAAAATAAATGAACTTTAAACATGTGTTTTCATGACAGAAACAAGTCAATGCCTCATGACACATTGAATTCCAGTAGACGAGATATACAACACTGTTTTTAAACTCTACATTTCAAACTAAAGCAGCAATGGAAAAATACATTATCTGTATTTTTGGATATTTAGAAATGTATCGAACTCCATTAAAGAAGTCCAAAAGATATAGTTGACCAATTAGTTTCTGCAATTATATATTCTGTATTCAAATATGGACAAAAAATTGGTGGGCTCCACACAATATATGTCTGCTACATCTGATACTACAGGATTGTTAAGACATAAAGAGATTCTTGTCAGAACAGATTTCCAGTCAAATAGGAAGACTAAAATGAAAGAAGTAAATATTGAATATACAAAGCTACTTTTTAAAACCTAGAATCTATTACTGTTTGACCTGTATTTTTTAATCAAATAAAAGTTTTGTATACAAGCATCTCCACCAACATTCAGAAGGAATGGTTTGGGGGTCTTTTGTTTTTTCCCCAAAAAACTGTTGATTCTTAATATGAACTGCAAAATCAAGTCACAACAAGCAAAGGATGAATTATCTTTTTCAGGCTGCAAAAAGGATTATAACAAAACCTACTCAAAAACTAGGATAAAAGCTTTTTGGAAAAAATCCAGAGAGTTCAGAATATGTTGCCAATTATATGCTATGAATTCTAAGCATCCATTTTCAAGATCTGAATGGACTTGTTAGAACTTTTTTGCACAAAGCCAACTTCCCTATGCTGAAGAGGACAAGGCCAGAGAATATCAGAAATACTGCAGGTATAGCAAATCGATTCCCTCTTAGCTAGACTTCCAAATAAAGCTACACAAGATGACTGTTTTAATAGTATATTCTCAAGTAAGTACTGACTCCTGTAATTCTAAAAACATATTGTAGAACCGCATTAAGTTTGGTGTTATTAGAGCAGATGAAGATAACCACCTGACCCAGCACGTAATTGTGGTCCCACAATCTGTAAAAGAAGCACTATATCAATGCACTACTATCTGATTTTTATGAAAGGATGAGCCACAGTGACATAGACAACTGTCTCATCATATAAATTTAAACATACATACATACATACATACATACATACATAAATATTCTCGTGCTGGGCAGGACTGCTACAGAAGCAGGGATTTATGATTCCTCTTTAACACGTCATTTCCAATTCCCTGCAAATATCTCCACAGCTACCTCCATGATATAAAATAAAGGTAATTAAAGAAGCAGAATTAAATTCACTATTAGGAATATGCAAAGCTAGAAAATCTGATGTCATAAGTAGAGATCTCCAAGAATCTTGATATTCCAGAATAAAACAGCTGTTAAGAAGATGTAGGAAATCATTTGACAAGCATGCAATAACAGCAGTAGAAGACCACATGCAAGTGTGTGTTTTCCCAAACAAATGCAAAGAATGAAGACCACACCAAATGGAAACATGTTCAGTTTTCAGACAAGACATGCCCTGATTAAAACCTGGTTTCTTGCCAAAAGAAACAGTAAAGGAAGAGATGAAAACTAACATCAAGTTCTATAAACGCTCAATGAAGCTAACAGTCCAAAACTAGATATTAAAATATATAGAGCAATTATTAGATGAGCATTCATTAGATGAACTTAGTATATTATATAAGCACTGGAAGATCACTGCATCTGGAAATCCAAGTACCTTTGTGAGAAAATAATGTGACCCATTTTGCGACATTACAGAACACTCAGTCACTTATCTTGTAAATAGGCATAAAATGAAAGAGTAGCTTACTTAGACCAAGAAATTAAACTTGGTATCAGCCATATTGTGTACTTACCATTCTTCCTTTCATTGAGAGGAGGTAAATACCGGTTCGGTTGCAAAGAGAGTTCTTGAAATTCATGGGCAACTGCTTCACTATGAGGACTAGGTGCAAGGCGTGATAATAATCCTGAATCATCTTCTGGGTCCACTGCCCCCTTATGTTCCATTGTGTTCAAGCAACTAGAGACATTGACAACAGAAAATGACTTATTGAAAGCAGATTGACAAAGCTGTTCAAAAAGGATTATAAATATTCAACTATTTCACCCAAGTCCAGCAGAAATTCTTCAGTGAAACAGTCAGCACTCTCTGTGACTTGCACCATGTATTCTCCTAATCTTATATGCAGATAGTAACTCTGGTTATAAATTCTGTTTCTCTAGCTCCAACAACTTTAGCCACTTAAAAGATTTTTTTGCTTTAAAAATGGCTCTGTTCAGTATGACTAAAATCACATCCTGTAGACTTTAGCCCATGTCGTCCTACCTTCTTGTACAGATGGACAAACTCTACCCTCAAACTCAATTTTTGAGGCTATCAAAGTCCCCTGATGGGTTTTAATTTCTTGGGGTTTATAAAATCTTAATGGGTACAATCAATTTCTGTGAACTTATTATCTTTTAATAAAATATGACTTATCTCTTAAAATCAGTTAACTACGATTATTCTTTCACATAGGATTACTGATTATCAGTTAAGCATACCTTCCAATAAGTGAATGGTTTGTTTTCTTGCACTAAACCATGGTCTGCTGAATAAGACATAGTTGGCTGGATTTACACATATTAATGCACTATCAATCATGATATACAAACCAAATCTGAATATACATATTAACCCAATCTAAAACCAAATAAATTATGTGTTGTGTGAATCCTGTTAGCAGGTTACTTCACGTTAGTTCAATGTGCAACATATACAGGCATCGTCTTTCATTTTATATTAGAAAATAATCAACAATACACAAATAGCCAAATAGTGCAGCTGAAAATAAATTGTATTATATTTAGCAATCATCTCTTGATGAATGATACCATATGTATCTACAGGACATCAGTACTATAATTTTTCTTTAGCAGCTTTGTCAGCATACTTCCTCCTCAATCCAGTCAAAGGACCTCCTATAAACATAATACTGATAGTTCAGTTTTGACAGAACATCCAGTTCTTGGCTTTTGCTAAATTTTGACTAATTAAAAACAAACTATGTTGGTATATACAAATAATGCTGAGGTTAGGAATCTGTTGAAAGAATGTGGCTTAGCAAAAAGGGGCCAAATTGTATTGGAATACAAATCCCAGAATCCCTCTGTTACACAGAATTCAAAATGTGCAAAAAAATGAGAGACAAAAATGCTGGTGGGTCATATGTGACATCCACATTTCCTTCATTTGAGGATAAATCATTCAAGTATAGCTTTGATTCTACAGGAAAAATCTTGCCGTACCCAGAAAGCTACAATATACAATAACACAAAATTCTTGTTTCCAAAGTGCTTTGTGTGATGCTAATTGACCTGGTAACTCCAGGTAGATAAATTCATTAAACATTTACTTAAAATAACTAGCTACTTATTTAAAGTAGCTACTGGAACAAACTATGTTGTAAGGAACAACATTGGGCTCTAGGAGATTGGTCAGCCCTTCCTAAGTAACCCATTACCATTATAAATTGATAACACTACATTAAAAACTGATGCCTGAATATCATGTTTTCATTCTCCTTCCCCATTTCCTTTTCCATCTTTGCTATGATTTTTTTTTTTTTTTTAGATTATAGGAAGGCTATCTGGCACTCCTTTTTGGCTAAACCCAAGTATTTAGACATTTAGAAACAAAACAATAAACTAGATTAAGCACTGCTCAAATCTAGATGTTGTGCAGAACAAGGTGGAATTCTTGGTTATGAGAGAAGACCATTAATCTACTGTACTGTTTTAATTACTTCAAGTTTAAACCATGCAGACACCGATTCAGAAACAAAATAAATGTTATATGCAAACATGCAGCCATAATCCTTTTTAAACTTGAGAAATGCCTGGGACAAAGTGACTGAAGAAAAATAAGGAAAGAGAGACTTTACTTACAGGGTATTTTCCTATTCTAAGGAGCTTTCAGAGTGTTTATTTGAACTCGTAAGTGGAATATGATGCAAAGCAATGGCAGATGGAGAAGACACTAAGTGCTTCCCAGTCTGTCCTGCATTATTTCTTTATTCACAATCTAAAGAAAAGGCATCAGACTATAGTTACTAGACTTGGCACATTTAATTTCATTTTCAGGGAAAGAGTTTGCTGGGTGGCAATCCCGTTTGTAAGCTAATATGTGAGTTACAGAATCCCCAAACAAACCACTTTTTTAAAGATATCATAGTCTGGTACATTGACAAGGTTGTCACCAACAGCCTATTTAACTATGGACCTGACATCAAATACATTTCTCCAGGGACACAAGAGATGCTAATGTTAACTAATCAGCTAGAAATAACATAAATTAATTACATAGATTATTACAACAGAAGAGGGATGAAGACAAGGAATAAATATTTTATTTGACAATATTCAAGCTTCATGGATAAACCCCAGTTACAGCAAAAAGACTGGGATAGAAATTCTGATTGCTTTAGAGTTTCAGAACCACAATTTTTTAAAAAAAACAGGGTTATCCAAATATTTCACAGTGGTCACATTCAATAAAATGGAAAGCTGAAAAGCCAAAATAACCCAATTTGAAGTTAGCTTACAACTCTTAGCTTGTTTAGACACACTGATCCAAAATTCTCAGTTCACAAGCAACTGGAAAGTAGGTTTAAGTGCTGAATCCTGGACTGTTTGCTCTTGAGCAAGGCAACAGCAAAATGGAAGGAGAGCGCAAACACTGTACATAATACTGACAGATATCCTAACTAATCAGACCTGTGGTGGAAGTTTAGCATGACGGGTGAACCAGTTCACAGTAACTCTGGTATTATTACTGCTAAACCTACCATGTGCCAGAGAGGATATCTTATTACTATCTTCACACAACTCCTGGTTTTGAAACCTAACTCTCTTTCGAAACTGCTATTCAGCTGTTAAAGTTATTCATATAACCAACATGTTCACTGCAAAAAACCCAAAAAACCTTTATGTCCCCAGTGCAATATTTTAGCTATATGCTCTTTTTCATAAAGACAGGACCTTTTAAATTCTTACATAATTTCTCAAAGCATGTACTAAGATAAAGTAAAATGGTACTCATGGTAGATTGTGGGCGTACTGTTTGCTAAGCTTTTCTCTTTTTATATCTATGATTCACTCCTCTTCTGAAGTGTTTTTCATTTTCCAGCCTTCCTTACCCTCTACTCTTCTGTGAAGAGTTCTTTTTATTCCTTCTATTCACTGATTACCAATCACTTTCAAATATACTACCATGGCCTTGATGTGCTCCTCTGAGCACTCTGACATCAGACCATTCTGCTTTACCTTATGAATGCCTTATCCAATATGCTTCCAGCATTTTCTTCGCTGGACTTACTGCAAGCCATTTTGTTGGATTCTGTGGGTGAAATGGAGGGTTTGAGGAGGATGGCAGATTTCAGAACCCAGAATATTCCTGCATTTCAAAACTGTACATTTTTGTAGCTTATAAATAGCCAAAAGTTCCTCTTAAACATAGGCACTGGATTTACATATAGAGAAAAGAAACATTAAAACACGATTTTGGAATTTAACCAAATGTACAATAATATGCAGTTGTTCACTGCTTAATAATTAGCTTTTTATATTCCTCTCGTCAGCCCCATTTTATGTCATTATACATTCTCCTAAGCACCCACACTCATTCAAACAGATAACTCATTAGTAGAGCCATTTCAGAGCAGAATCCCTATTAAAATTCGAAGATAAATGTAAATTGCTATCTTGGTAGCTTCACCATCTTATCCATCATAAAGATGTTCTTTTTAATTGCACAAACTCATATGAGTCTACATTCTATTAAAACTATTGGGGTTCAAGAAATCTATCTGATATCAAATCAACAGTGCTACACGTTTGCCACCATTTGAAATTGAATTGAATAAAGTGAATAAGCTAGAACCATTTCAAAAAGGCAAATTAGCCTCTTGCTTTGAAATTCCAAACTTCCTCTGACTGAAGTGCTTAATTGTATGATATAACTCATGTTTTAACTGCTATCTTTACTATATTTCTTATGTAAAGAGGCCCACTTATTGAAATACGCAAATGAAGGCATTGAAATATGGTACCTAGCAACAGTTGCTTCCAATTCTCATTACTATGGTTACATGCAATATAAAAAGAATCATTATTAGAGAAAAGTAAATTGTATGAATAAGAAAAAGATTAAGCAAACGAACTGTTTAGAAACTAGCATTACATTAGATATACACAGAACAGGACAACTGTTACAAAGAGAATGTGAAAATTTAGCTGGTCAAGGAGGGGAGCAATTATTAAGCTGCACATCCTAAAATATCTCCAATGCAGAACTGGACACTCTTGCAAATTCCAAACAAACCAAAATTCAACAGCAAGTTTTCAGTCCTCATGCACAGAATTAGAAAAATATTCAGGCACCGAGTTAACTTTTTTAGGAGCCACCAACAAAAAGATTTTAAGGTGCCAACCCAGGAAAAAAATGAATTACGGTATTTTCCTAACTCAAGGAACAGATATGTGGCTATCAGGTAGCTGGGGTTTTCAATCCCACTTTTAAAAAAGTACAAGACTTTCCATATCTAAAATTTAATGCAGCACATATTCCACGAGGTTTACTCTTCCAAGTATCTAATTTCCTCTTTGATAAATTCTAATTCTACAAACTAAGCAAAGCATGCTAGGTAAAAGGATGTCCTAAAAATTGTTTGCACACAATTAAGTTAAATAAACTCTACTCCACAAAACTTCTCATTAAACTGCTACATGTAGCCTTTTTGAGTATACATAATAAACAGCTCCCCTGGAAATAGATAGAAGGGGAAAAAAATACTAAACATCATTATCTCTCAGAGACATTTTGCAGCATTCCAAACCTGTTTAACCAGAGAAAAATATTACACAACCCACCTTTTTCTTAAGGTAGGTACTGTAGAAATAACGGACAATGGCTCAGGTCAAACGCTAATGACAAGCCATTAGCAGCAAACACAAGACCTTAAGAGGAGCTCTTTTGGATCA